ATGCAGTTTCGAATATATAAGAGATGTCCAACTCTAATTACTATGAGGTATTTTGGGAAGGAGCCCAAGAATAAATCCGTGCGGGCTTTGCCTCTGGGCCCAAAGCGGACACTATCATACTAATGGAAGAGTTGGACATGGGCTTGGAAAGCCCAACAAATGGTATCAGAGCCTAGGTTCGGAAAAGTGGACCTGGAGAAGTGGGTTGGGCTGCGTGTTCGATGTGGGARGARAGCCCCMAAAAAAGGAGACCTCGCGAATAAGGGTGCAGGGACCTTGTATCRAAGGTATTCCTAACGGTGTCCCAAGGGTTAGGTGAAGAACAGGCGATACAAGATGGGYGCCAGGTTTYGCCSRAGGTAGAAGACCACRGGTTTATGTGGTAATTGGTTTGAGGRGAGGATTGTTGGGATATCAATCCAAGTCCCACATCGGAAGTTTAGACAATAATTGTCTAATATATAAGTAATGTCCAACTCTAATTAGTATGAGGTCTTTTGGGAAGGAGCCCAAGAACAAATCCGTGCGGGCTTTGCCTCTGGACCCAAAGCGGACAATATCATACTAATGAGAGAGTAAAGCCCATGTCCAACTCTCCTATTAGTATGATATTGTCCGCTTTGGGCCCAAAAGCAAAACCCGCACAAATTTGTTCTTGGACTCCTTACCAAAAAGCCTCATACTAATTAGAGTTGGATATCTCTTATTTATTTCTTTTCTAAACTTCCGATGTGGGACTTGGATTGATATCCCAACAATCATTCCCTCAAACCAAGTACCACATAAACCCGTGGTCTTCTACCTCCGGCGAAACTTGGCACCCATCTTGTATCGCCTATTCTTCACCTAACCCTTGGGACACCGTTAGGAATACCTTCGATACAAGGTCCCTGCACCCTTATTCGCGAGGTCTCCTTTTTTGGGGGCTGTCCTCCCACATCGAACATGCAGCCCAACCCACTTCTCCATGTCCAATTTTTTGAACCTAGGCTCTGTTACCATTTGTTGGCCTTTCCAAGCACATGTCCAACTTTCTCATTAGTATGATATTGTCCGCTTTGGGTCCAGAGGCAAAGTCCGCACGGATTTGTTCTTGGGTTCCTTCCCAAAAGGCTTCATACTAATTAGAGTTGAACATCTCTTATATATTAGACAATTATTGTCTAAACTTCCGATGTGGGACTTTGATTGATATCCCAACAATCCTCCCCTCAAACCAAGTACCACATAAACTCGTGGACTTCTACCTTCAGGGAAACTTAGTACCCTTCTTATACCTCTTGTACTCTTGGTACCTTTATTTGTGAAGTCACCTTTTGAGGGCTCTCCTCCCACAACGAACATGTCCAACCCACTTCTCCAGGTCCACTTTTCTGAACTTAGTCTCTGATACCACTGTTGGGCTTTCCAAGCCCATGTCCACCTCCTCCCATTAGTATGATATTGTCCGCTTTGGGCCCAAAGGCAAAGCCCGCACGGATTTATTCTTGGGCTCCTTCCCAAAACGCCTCATACTAATTAGAGTTGGACATCTCTTATATATTAGAAAATTCTTGTCTAAACTTCCGATGTGGGACTTGGATTGATATCCCAACAATCCTTCCCTCAAACCAAGTACCACATAAACCCGTGATCTTCTACCTCCGACGAAACCTGGCATCCATCTTGTATCGCCTGTTCTTCACCTAACCCTTGGGACACCGTTAGGAATACCTTCGCTACAAGGTCCCTGCACCCTTATTCGCGAGGTCTCCTTTTTTGGGGGCTCTCCTCCCACATCGAACACGCAGCTCAACCCACTTCTCTAGGTCCACCTTTTCAAATCTTGGCTCTGATACCATTTATTGGGCTTTCCAAGCCCATGCCCAACTCTCCCATTAGTATGATATTGTCCGCTTTGGGCCCAGAGGCATAGCCCGCACGGATTTGTTATTGGGCTCCTTCCCAAAAGGCCTCATACTAATTAGAGTTGGACATCTCTTCTATATTAGACAATTCTTGTCTAAACTTCCGATGTGGGACTTGGATTGATATCCCAACAATCCTCCCCTCAAACCAAGTACCACATAAACTCGTGGACTTCTACCTTCAGCGAAACTTAGTGCCCTTCTTGTACCTCTTGTACTCTTAGTACCTTTATTTGTAAAGTCACCTTTTGAGGGCTCTCCTCCCACAACGAACATGTCCAACCCACTTCTCCAGGTCCATTTTTCTGAACCTAGTCTCTGATACCACTGTTGGGCCTTCCAAGCCTATGTCCAACTCCTCCCATTAGTATGATATTGTCCGCTTTGGGCCCAAAGGCAAAGTCCGCACGGATTTGTTCTTGGGCTCCTTTCCAAAAGGCCTCATACTAATTAGAGTTGGATATCTTTTATATATTAGACAATTCTTGTCTAAACTTCCGATGTGGGACTTGGATTGATATCCCAACAATCTTCCCCTCAAACCAAGTACCACATAAACCCGTGATCTTCTACCTGCGGCGAAACCTGGCACCAATCTTGTATCGCATGTTCTTCACCTAACCCTTGGGACACTGTTAGGAATACCTTCGCTACAAGGTCCCTGCACCCTTATTCGCGAGGTCTCCTTTTTTGGAGGCTCTCCTCCCACATCTAACACGTAGCCTAACCCACTTCTCCAGGTCCACTTTTCCAAATCTTGGCTCTAACATAATTTGTTGGGCTTTCCAAACCATGTCCAACTCTCTCATTAGTATGATATTGTCCGATTTGGGCCCAGATGCAAAGCTCACACGAATTTGTTATTGTGCTCCTTCCCAAAAGGCCTCATACTAATTAGAGTTAGACATCTCTTATATATTAGACAATTCTTGTCTAAACTTCCGATGTGGGACTTTGATTGATATCCCAACAACATCCAATTCATACAGAATCACAGTTATATTTCACCATTAACGAATCTAATTTTGGTTTTCTACAGGGATGATACATGAACCAAAATTAAGAGTTTTTGTTTTATTAAATTTGAATTGGAAAAAAAATTGGTTTATATCGTTAAATTAACGTCTTAGTTTATATTGTCTTTAGCAGATTACGCGTATTTTTGTTCATTTGTTTTAGAAGGTTCCTATAATATTTTTTTTTCACTTTTGGATATCAATAAAGTTGTTTAGCTGAAAAAAAAGGTTTGGTTTATACTGAATTTTC